CCTCCCCTTGACACACACTGAGCACTAATATCTGCTCCAGAATTAGCAAATTAGTAGAGTTTTCCGGGAGAAAGTGGATTGAACTGCACTACATGCTGGGCTCATGTCTCTGGGTCTCCTCCTTTTCCAGGATCTTGATCCTGTAACACTTTGCTGCTGCTGCTGCTGCTCTGTGTGTGTGTATAAATAAGTAAATAGTGTCAACTGGTTTTCTTAGGAAAAATGTAAAACTGGAATCGCCTGAGAACAGATGCATTTCGTGACTGGTCTAAGGTTGAGTGCCTCCCAGGTGTTGCTTCACAATATAGGCCTGTTCTAGGAAACACACACATGCAGAGATTGAAGAATTAGGTTTTGATCTTCAAAATATGACTTGAGGTGGGAACACAATAAACTTTGGAGGGAGTAATAGCCACAAAAGAGAACTCACAAGGGCAAGAGGTAGAATTTGGGTCAAATGACTTCAGTCTTCGCTATGAAAGCCCATGAAGCACAAGCGCCTTAATGGAAACATTTTAAAACGAAAAGGAGAACTGAGAGGCAATTTAATGGCATTGTTTGGAAAAAAAAATCAATCAAGGACTTAAAGTGGTTTAATGTAGTAATAGAGTTCATTGTAAAGGAGTTTGATGATAAATGCTCTCTGTGACTTAATTCTTATTAAAAAATATCGCACTGCACTGCCACCTGGTAAAGCTCAAATGATTTGAGGCTAATAGTGATGCCCTGTGGAGCCTGGGAAGGTGGTGATTCAGAGGTAGAAAGCTCTTCTGTTTATACCGGAGAACCGGGTTCGATTCCCAGCCACCCTCCATCTGTCAGCAGCAGCTTGCTTGTTGCTCAGATGCTTAACAGACTTAAGGTTTCAGTGAGACGGACCAGAGCAACAGGCTGTTGTTGATCCACTTCCCAAAATAAGCAAATGATCACCCTATCGATCACCTTTTAGCCAAGCAATAGACCAGCTACACCAGCTGCTATGTGGAGATAGATGAGCAATGCCCCCACCGCCCCACCCCTGTGATTTACAGCCTCAGAAAACCCGCTGGCGGGTCAGCTATGAGTTGGTTCAGACTAGACTGCACACAGCCACAGAAGGTGGTCCGTTCACGCCAGGGAAGAATGCATTCCTTACCATTCTCAAAAAGAGCAGCTTC